CGGAAGTGTCGAAAGTTTAAACACCAACTGACGTATAACATAGTTAGACATCACAAAGTGTCTAGAAAATGCACACTTGAACTTAGACGGCAATTGACGTGCAAAATTAAACACTTGTTTTACCAGTGTAGATAGATAGATAGATAGATAGATAGATAGATAGATAGATAGATAGATAGATAGATAGGGCGTCGGCGCAAATCAGGAATGAAGGGACTACAAAGGCCGATGCGGCGGGCCTATTCGCGGCTCCTCCTGGCGCCGTTTAAACGATTCCTTTTGTGCCTCCCCCGCGAAAAGCGATAGAAGAGCCATTTACATAACTCTGCGTGATTCAAATGGGGGGGCGCCAAGTCAGGTGCGCCAACCAGCGGGCGGGGAAGGCGGCCGCGACGCGAAGGGGGCGGGCAAGGAGGGGAGGGAAGGGGAGGTGTGGCGAGGGTAAAGGGTCGGAATTTGCTCAATTGTGGAAGGGCCGTAGGCCGCAGGCGCGCACCTCCACAATGATTGACCTGCTCCTTAGTCGTTATGTATGAGGGGGATGCTCCGAAAGGGCGCGACGCAGTCTCACTCTCACCTGCAACGCGAAGAACCTCTTGGCGTGCTCGGCGGCCTGGCGGCCCAGCGCGCGGGGCTCCAGCAAGCGCACCACCATCTCCCCCCGCCGCTCCACCGCCTCCAGGGCGGCCGCCGTGGTGGCGTCGTGGTCATTCTCCACCGTCTCAATCTGGCGGAAGATCTCGTTGGAGATGCCGCTGACCTGTGCAGAAGACCGTCGTTACCGGCACGTAGTACAATATGCCCCTCGCGGCGCAACGTCTCCGTTACACTACGCTAGAGCAAAGCCCGAAATTTTTCGCGTAGAATTTTAAAATTATCCTGAAAAAATCGGGAAAAATTAAAATATTTCCAGAAAAAATGGAAAAAGTTACACTTTCATGAAAAATATTAAGAAGATATTTTTAATTGTTGCCTGAAATGTTATTCTGGAAAATTAAATTTCCTTCACTCCGCACAGCTCACCTTGCGGAAGTCCCCCTGGATGACCATAGGGGGTGGGTCCTTGGGGCGCAGGCCCTGCAGGCCGGGCTGCCCCTGGAGGCCCTGCAGGCCTTGCTGGCCCTGGAGGCCGGGTTGGCCCTGGAGTCCAGGCTGGGCTCCAGGGTGAGGCTGCCGCCGCGGGCTGGTCGCGATGTCTGGGGTGTTGTCTCTGCCCTCCTGAAACAAACGGGAAAGGTAGCCGGTGAGTCTCGCTGTGCGACCTTTAACGTTCAACTTCAAAAAGGGTTATTATGACCTGCCCAGCACGAACTCTGAACCTTGCAAAATGGGAACGTGGCAGGGCAAAAGTGATCACGTCCTCCCCCCCCCCCCTTAAAAAACCTCCAATCTTTATGCGTGTAACCCTTTTTAAAGTTGAATTTCTGTGCAACACAAACAAGGCACTTCGGAGAGGTTCCCACGCACAGAAAGACCACAGTTCAACAAATTATCTCTAAGAGCTGTTTTTTGGGGTTTTTTTCCTGTTTTCGTTACTCATCTTGAAGAGAGATATGGGAAGCGGGCTGGGGTGAGTCGACGGCACCCGCAGACGGCAGTAGCAGACGCAGGACG